AATCCTTTCCACTATCATCAGTGACCTAGACACGTTCTAAGTGTTAAATCCCCGGTACGTTCTAAGTGATGAATCTTGATATTTGGACGTTCTAAGTGTATGGTTTTCGACGTTCTAAGTGCAAGGCTTAGAACGTAAAAAAAAGCAGTAATATTCAGATTTTTTTTTCCAAAATACGTTCTAAGTGATTGTCCGTCACTATAAATCACCATATAAATCACCATTAAATCACCATTTTCCTATGGTTTTCCTATGGTTTTCCTACTTGTTACCATGATATCTACATACCTTAACCATAGCAGCTCGCTACAGCCGCTGCTCAGCTGTCTCCGCTCGTCCCGGGGAATCCACGGGGAATGCCGGAGATCGCACCAGGACGGGAATCTGCAAACTTTGCCATACGTGTAAATATATATATATATATGTTTTATAGATACTAAATATCTAGTATATATATTGGTATCTCTAAAGTATATATTGGTATATAAATAGTATATATATATATGTCTATAATATATATATATATATTTACTGTATTTACATATGTGTATACTAAATATCTAGTATATATTAGTATATATACTAAACAGCTAGTATATATTGGTATATATGTATATAGTGCATATATATATATTATATATATATATATATATATTGTGTATATATATATATATTGTATATATATATATATATATGTATTCATACGTATATAGTTTGAATAGATATATATTTATACCTGCAAATCCCAAGGTTGTACACATTTTGTACTCGGCTGATTTGAGCGCAAAAAACGTATTTGTTGAGGCACAAACGTATTTGTTTGTTTTCCTTTGGGTGCACGTTGTGATCTTAAGCGATAGTTTTGGTAGCTAAGGGACTTTCAGTGTCTCTAAGGGTGTAAAACGGGTTTGGTTATTCTGACAGAGTTTCAGCTCACAAGGGTTTCCACTCACACTGCCATCAAATCTGAAGAAAAAGAGCTACGCAACCAAGATCTACTGAAACATGACTAATGTACAACTCTGCTTTTGTTTTTGGCGCGATTGTGTTCAAAAAATGGAATTCACCCATCAACACGGCTGCAAAGCCATGCCACAGGTTGCTCAAGGCCTTTAACCACCCAACCAATTCCAGGTGAGTGCAAGCCACAATACCCCATTACAAGATTTTGTGGTGGGATGCATCATGGAGTAGTGACACTTGCGGAAATTCTGGCGCAAATGATTCTTTCCCACTAAGTCTTATTTATTCCCTTGCTTCATGACAGCCCAAACGGCGGAACAAGCAAACAATGCCCAGCGTACTCAAAATATCAAAATGTTCAAAGAACGTCTTTGTTTTTGAAAATGTATCAAAAATGTATTTGTTCCAAAAAACACAGTTTTCCAAACAAAAACAAAAATATGCATACTTATGGCTGCCTAGGTATATATAATATATACATATTTCTGTGTATGATATATATATATATATTTATACATACATGTTGTAAATATCTATATACTGTATATAACATCATCGGTTATGTCAGTGAAGCAATAATAAGGACCCTCCCTGCAATATATTGTTGGTTGATACAACGGATAAACAATGTAATTTGGGAATGGTTTACTATTGATAGTTGATAGATACAGTTGGTTAATATAGTTGATACATATATATATATATGATATGAATTTAGTTGAAATATGGAGGTTTCCTGACATAGGGATACCCTCAAATCATCCGAATCATTAGACCAAACTATAGTGACTGGAAACCCATGGTGACTTGGGATAACCTATTTTCGGAAACCTCCAAATATAATATGTATAGACATGTGTTTCATTTAATTGGATATCACAGGTATACAAAAAAACAAGTACGTAACTATATATTTGTGTATTTATTTATACGTATTAAATTCACATAGTATACTGACTGGATGACTAGTTGAGTGCAACCATTGTTTGTTATATTTGTCTTTTTCTTTCAGGGCTGAGATTCCCAACAAATTCGGCTGATTTGGGATGGATTTGACCTTGTGTTTACTCCTAGGCTTTACCACAACCCGTTGCACAAAATGACAAGAACTGTGTAAAACACAGCGGACACATCTTGGTCAATCTTACATGGGTACTTTAACTTTAATCCTTTAGTCTTTTGGTATCAATGTGAATATCTACTAACCAGCCAAGAATTTATTTTTTTGCAGGCTATCTAAGATTAGCAATGATTGGGAACAACAAAGAAACTGTAAGCAAGGTTCAAATCGACCCACTTTCAAGGTCTCCAGATTCGGGTACCCGGGTACCCGGTATCCCACATATTCTTTATAGTTTGTTATTATTCGTTACGGTAACATGTGTATTTGTTCAAGCTGCAATGCGTTGACAAACAATCTTGTTGGTTTATAACACCCCATCTAACTAGTTCGATATATCACCCAAACCCCTAGTATGAACTAAACCAACTGAGCTATCCAACCGGGGCCTCACTATGTACCAACTTCAATCTCACGATGATGCATCCATCCCATGTGGCGATGATTTTGGGTTCAGGAAGAACCCACAGATATCGCCCAATAAGTTGGTGTAAAGTGATCTACTTCAGGATGGGCCCCCCGTTCGATAGCGTTCAGTTGCCTAAAAAATGTGGTTGAACTATGGCTTATTGTATATATATATATAACTATAGTATTCATGGGATTATTTCAATCATTTTCCCATATATCCCATAGATTGCCCATAGCTTATCCGCATACGATGGGTTTTACCAAACCATACGTGGGGGTGGGGCCGCAACAAACCTCGGCCAGGAGTCTCCTATGGAACGCTCGCGCGCGAGTGGCGATGCAAATGGTGGGGGGCCCGCTGTGGGTGTGGGTAAAACAATGTCATAAACCACCCATTCGGGAATGGTTTTACTCCCATTAATAGTGATGACTGGGGGATGGTTTATGGCATTGTTTTACTCACAAAAAATTGTGAATATAAGTGTTTGATGGGGATGTGTATGATTAACCTCAAGACAAAATTGATAAAACATGATAAAAACAGATTAGGCGCATTCCCCATACTGGGTCTATGTTTTACCCATTATTCCAAGATTGCCATTGTGGGGACGACCAGAAACCATATATATATATATACCATGTAACGGACCATGGAACGTCACATGGACTTCTGATGACGAGCTGCGATTTTGTCATTGAACCAGTGTTTGGGGTAAGTGCCATTGTTTTGATAAGAAACCTATTGAAACGTGCTGAATTGTTTTTCTTTGTGTTTTTTTTTGGGTGGGGTACATATATATATATATGATATATATATATATGATATATATATATATGTATATACATATATACAGATAAACAAATATACATCTATACATATATACATATATACATAGTATGTATACATATATACATATATACATGTATACATATATACATATATACATATATACATATACCCAATGTCTCAGTGATTTGCCGCACAGCCACAGGTCGTACGATGATGATTGTGCTTCATTGAAGGCCTGTCAGAAGCTGCTGCAGGACGCGCGACGATGTCACCGAGCTTGGGGACATGTGAGCTTGGGGACATGTCAGAAGCTACCATAGTTGATAGATTGATTATGTATATGTATGTGTATATACTATCTGGTAATGAAATATAGGTAGTGAAATGTAATAACTGTCATTAGAAATTAACCAGATAGGTAATGAAATGGGGATTATGTCTATCTGCTGATGTTTCATGGGGATTATTTTCCAACCACAATAGGATAACTATTACCCTCTGGTAATGACTGTTACATAGCTATTGAAAATGGCCCAGTCGAAATAGTGAGTTTTCCTATGGAAAATGGTGATTTTCCATAGCTATGTTAGTTTACCAGAGGGTAAATTGGTGAACACAACTCCAGTTTCACTCTGGTTTATCATAGATATATTGACTATAAGTTACTATGGTTTATAAACCAACAAACTTATTACTGGGGGGGGCACCAACGTTGTGGGATTGTATATTGTGATTGTGGGATTGCCTCTGGTATATTGTACATGCCGTATCAGAAGCAAGGGGGAGAATCCCTGGGTTTGATCGAAACGGTTGCTTTTAGTGAAACCTACCAGATGCAATCACAGAGCTAGGTATGTGCCGGAGGTATTTTTACTTTTCAAGGAACAGATTGGAGTTCGGGTGACTCCTCCAGGGCATGTGCAGACAAGCAGCTGAAGAGTCTGTGATCGAGGAAGAGGTGTTGGAGTTCAAATTGATCGAACGATCGACGTTCCTGGAATACCTTCCGGTGAGGTCAGGCGTTCGCAAATCCTCCAGCAGCCCGGAGCTCACGGAGTTCGATCTTCACTCGACAAGTACAGGACCTGGCCAGAAAGAGAGCTGGGGTCGGCAGGTCAGTGTCAGCACTAATTGTTCTTCTGCCACCTGGAATCGGCAGGTAAGTGCCACCACCGTTTGTTCCTCCAGTGCAACCTGGGGTCGACAGGAAAGTACAGACATCAGATGTCTGACGTTCCACGACAACTCGGATCCTACCCACACAGACTTCCGTGAGATTCCGACTGGATCCAGCGGATCAGAGACTGGTATAGGTCAATGGTCAGTGGGATCAGCTCTGCATTCCCAGGGCGATTGCAAACCTTGTGCGTAAACCCTTCTCGCTTGACTTGTATGATGGATTATGATGGATTGAAGTGATTGAAGCTGAGTTTTTAAATCATTGTGAGATTCTCAATGCCTTTCATGTTTTTTGTCCTTGTTTTTTCCTTTGTGAACACTTTGATACAGATTTGATACAGATCTCTCAGATCTCCTTAATCCGTAGACGCCAAGTTGCCAGGTGGTTTTGGCGGCCGGGCGGCTGCACTCGAGCTGAGACATGTCACCTGGAGCCATATTAGCGAACCATATGCCATATGCGTATGCGAACCATGGTGCTGCTATATAAAAACCTACAAAACTGACTGGGTGATTTTGGACTGCCGGGCAGTTCTGTTGGTTTTTATATGGTAAATATTCCAGCACTATGATTCGCATCTGGGGAATCTACTGGGAAAGGGCGATTTTTTGGACTGGGGGCAGCGGGCAGCCAAGGTCAGCATTGTCACTTATGTCCTCGAGGTGCCTTGCAGAAGAAGAAGCGGCAGAATCGGCAGATGTTGAAGGCATTGCGACGAAGCAGGGTGGTAAGTCCGTGAAGTATGGGTACTGAGAGAAGGAATGATGCCTCAGGAATCCCATATGTCAAGTTTTAAGGCCATTATATTTGACCACTCCACTCAGCCTGATTGTGCAGCTTGAACGAAGGTGATCCCTGCCCCACGACTTTGTGGAGCAAAACATCCTGTTTCAGGTTGCAGCATGTAAGCGCATGTATCGTGATATGGGGGTTTCCTAAAATAGGGCTACCCCCGGTTCTCATACATTTTTGTTTGGGTTTTTTCCATTATAATTTGTAAATCATCCAGCTATTGGGTGTACCGCCATGACTATGGAAACCTCCATATTGTTTATTGATATTGATATTTTAGATGACACTGCTCAACTGCACAGCCAAGGCTTGACAGTCGTATCAGTCGTACAGGTGTTCCAGCGACTCGCTTTGCGCACGACTTGTTTGCGCGTCAGAATCGTGCGATCTCTCGCGACCTGCTGGAAGGACAACTCTTGCGACCTTTACAGTTATGGCCCTGAACAGTATACTGGGTTTACAATGATATATCACCATATATCACCTGAGTTATAGGAGTTATATGTCCATGAAAATAACTGTTAGTTGGTCCAGAACTGTGCAATATGATGATATAGCGCATCCTTTGGGAGCGCTCAAGGTCCATATCAAACGTCTTCTGGACTGCTTGGACACAGCAAAAAAGTACAGGATGGGCCCCCCAGTAGTTATGTTTGTTGGTTTATAAACCATTTATGGGAAATCTATGGAAAATCTATGGGAAATATGGGAAAAAGGTTATAAACCCATGAATACTATAGTTATATCGTGCTATATCTACCATAAACCATGGAATTCAGCCACCCCCATGAAAACTACTAGTTCATGATATCTACCATAAACCATATAGAATTCAGCTACTTTTCAGGCAACTGAACGCGAGCTCGAACGGGGGCCCCATCCTGTATGTTATTTCAGAATTCGTTGCAACCTGTGACAGTCTCCGTCCACCGCACCCAAGGTTGGTGGACCGCGGGAACTCCAATTGGCCTTCCGTATTTTTGTGGTAAACAGTCGGAACCACCTTGCTGAGCCCTCATACTATAAATATGACTGGGTAAATGATGTTGCAACCAAAGCCTGTTTTATCTCACTAGAATCATGGTGAATGTATAGGGGAATCATCCCCAAGATGGCCTTATTTCATCTCATTTCAGGTTTGTGAATTATTATTATTCGGCCAGAATACACTTGAGAAACAATGGATATTTATTGATATTTGATATCTGATCTGGTTGGAATCCCCGACAATATGAAAAATTTTGGGATGACCAGAATGTCCACTGGTCCAGGGGAATGAAGGATGACAAATCCAAGATGGGTACCAGGTGCAAGTACATCCCTAAATTTGAGGGTTGAATGAAACTTAGAACAATATACAGTTTTGGCCCTGTACCAGTAAACAAATGGTTTAAAATGGGTGTATCATTCCATCAATGAGGTTATAAGTTATAACTGACTTATAACTGGTATTTCGGGCCATAACACGATAGTTTTTTTCATGATGCTTGAATTATCATGGACCTTCTTCCGCCGTTGCAATGTCTGGTGAACCACAGGGATGAATTGGCACCATATCCAGACTGCTGGTTGTCCAGCCTTGACACGGCCAACAATCATAGCTGCTCAAAATGGCCATGTATAGTTGATTTACTCATAAAAAGATGTGATTTTCCATAGTTATGTTAGTTTACCAGAGGGTATTCCACAATAGAAATCCTTCTCCTTAAAGATTTTTTTTAAACTACTACACAATAGTGGGACAGAATGGAACTATGCAGCTGGTATATACTAATATACAAGGTGGTGCCCGCCCAGTTATAAGTTGGGTTATAATCCCCATTAACTATAGATATAACCCCCATAAACCCTGGTTATTGCAGCTGGTGGACCAAGCAGCTGGTACCCTGCCTCCCACATGTCACGCGTGGCCAGAGGACATGCAGGAGGAGATTTTGCAGGCGCAGCCTCCACAAGCCTTTTTTGTTGGTACCGCTATTCTGTGGGTTATATATGGTGATCAACAACCATATATATATATTCATAGATTTCATAGTCACCATATGTCACCATGCCCAAGTCATCACCATGTTTTCGACTGTCGTTGGGATGTCACGATGTCCAGGTCATCCACCACTGGTCTGGGAAGCAGCTGAAGACTCGGGAAGTGCCCAGGTTTTTTGCAGCGCTCGGATTTTTTTTGGGTCGTATCATACTCTACTTACTGGTGCGTTTTACGCAGGGAATTTTCGGGAATGATCCATAATCACAAGTAATAATCATCTCATTCTCCAGTCCTATCCATTCCCTACTAAGCACCAGTAAGTACTCTAATGTCTTCGATTTTGTGTTGAGCCTTGTTGGTTGATGATATGATGATGAATGTGAGGAAGGTTCGTGTTGGTTGATTTTTTTTAGTTCGGGGATTGTATTTGGGAATATTTGGGGATGATCATATAATCCATGAACGGGAATCTCTAGAAATCAACCGGTAGAATGACACTGTCCAGAGGGTTTGCCAACCCGCGGTTGCCCAAGATGGATAATCTAATTACTTGGGGAAGGGTGTAGGCTAGAGGTACCTTTATGGGCATGTGCCCACAGTATAACATACCCCCTACATATGGAGGTTTCTACAATGGGGGTCCCCAAAATGGATGGTTTATACTAGTTATGGAAAATCCTATTCTAGGAAACCTCCATATAAGTTGGGATATAATGCCTATAACTATAGTCTATAGTTATATATCCTCTTGCAACTGCATTCCCAACTATAGTATAATCTTGATTTGCTTTGAGCCTCTGAAAGGAATTGCAAGATAAACAGGGACGGCATCCCCAACTCACCAAGGTGTGGTTTGAACTGACGTAAAGCCACCCAAAACCTGAGAAAATAGGCACAAAACCTGAGAAGAACATAGAAGAACTAGGTCAACCTTGGATGGGTAGTTGAATCCTTTAATCTCGTGCTATCAAAAATACTGTAGGAATTCGAAGAATATTGTTGTGCTTTAAGATTGAGTTTTTAAAAACAACCAGCTAACATAGAAAGGTTTCCTAAAATGGGTGGTACCCCCAAATCTATGTTTAATGGATTTTCGATGGATTTTCCAATATAAACCATCCATTTGGGGGTACCCCTTGTGTTCTGATGTCGAAGATTATGCGACCAGAAACAAAGTTGGAAGCCGCGACCGGAGCAACTTTTGAGCGGCCACCGCCTGACCTGCGCCGAGGTGCTGAACGGCAAGATCGATGTCAGCACGCAGAGCGTCCAACGGATCGTAGGGCAGGTGGGAGGTTTTGTATGGTTTTGTTCCATTTTTTTTAGGGTGGGGCCACCAGTCTCTTTGTGTTTATTGGTTGAAAAAAAGCACATAAACATCCATAAACCACAATATCTCATAGTTGTTTGGAGTGAACTAAACCGACCTAGCTATCGAACAGGGGCCCCGCATTGGTGGGATGTCAACCACAAGAATGTGGAAAATATCCTGCAATGATATGGGTAAACAATATATATATATATATATCAGAATGCATACATGGATTAGATAAGAATAAGGTCATACATGGATTCTACAAATTGAAAGGTTCAATAATATGACATGATGTTTGTGTGTGTAGAAGATTCACGAATTGAAACTTTGGTGTTCTCTCGTCACGGGTCATCCCTGGAATGTCCCCTTAAATCAAACTACAAAGTGACACACATGCATAATATATAATATATTATATCTACACATAATATCATATATAGTATACTGCAAATATGATATATTATAGTAGAAAGTAATCAATTAAAAACATAGCCTTCAATTTGTTTAAATACCTATATAATATAATGCAACATAAAATAGTATTTGATAACATAATACAATATAATGTATTGCATACGTATTATATGCACCTATCTATCTATCTATCTATCTATCTATCCATCCAGCCATCCATCCATCTATCTATCTATCTATCTATCCAGCCATCTATCTATCTATCTACCTATCTATCTATCTTTCTATCTAATCTAATCTAATCTAATCTAATCTAATCTAATCTAATCTATCTAATATATCTAATCTATCTGATCTATCTGATCTATCTAATCTATCTAATCTATCTAATCTATCTAATCTAATCGATCTATCTATCTATCGATCGATCTATCGATCTATCTATCTATCTATTTCATTCTAGTCTAGTCTATTCTATTCTTTTCTTTTCTACTCTACTCTAATTCATTTCTATTCTATTCTATTCTATTCTATTCTTTCTATTCTATCTATTCTATCTATTCTATCTATTCTATCTGTTCTATCTATTCTATCTATTATATCTATCTATTCTATCTATTCTATCTATCTATCTATCTATCTACCTACCTACCTATCTATCTATCTATCTATCCATCCATCTGGGTAAATTACAAGGCGCGACCTCACTGCGACCTCACTGGAATGATGATTATGCTTGGGGAAATCATACCTAAATCAGTTGTTTCTGCTGAGTGATTTTTTTTTTGTACAATTTACCTTGATATTGTAAGTTGGTTTATAAACCCAGTCATTCATTAACCATAGACATATCTACCATAAGCCATAGTTATTGGAGTTATTGGAGTTATAAACTAATTTAGCTACGTGTATATTTAAACATATATATATATAATATCTACATACAGTGGTTGATCTCCATTATTAATATACATATGGATCACCACCATATTGGCATAATATATATATATACTGTACCACCGGTTGAAGCATCAAGTCACCCACATCTGCTCCACCAGGCATGCTGCGACTTTAAGGTGGGGACGGTGATACGGTCAGCATCACCGAAACCGCAGAAACCACTCAAAGAATGGTGGTTGCGTGGTGATGTCATAGGAATTTATGGTGATTTAATGGAATTCCAAGGAGATTTCCAAGGGATTTGTTCAGATTTCATCGGATGACATGGGATTTCGTTGCGGATTTCACGGGATTTAATGAGATAACATGGATGTGACATAGAGGGACATAGATGGGGACAGAATGAGGATAGAATGGAATATATAGAATTTGCATAGATAGATCTAGTGGATACAGTGGAATATATCTGCAATATCATGGGTTTACTGTGAGATATATTGGATCTAATGGGACATAGATGGGGCGCCTGAACGGAGAATGATCTAGCGAAACCCATAGGCGTATAATCGGATCATCCCCTCCTGATGGTCCCAAAGATGTGATCGTTTATAGCCCCGTGGTTATCCCATGGCCCACTGTTGACCCACAACTGTACCAACCAACAAGGGCGAAATGTAAGCATGTCCAAAGTTGTTTCATTGGATTTGAAAACTGGTTGGTGGTTTGGAACATGAATTTTATGACTTTCCATCATATATGGGATGTCATCCTTCCCATTGACGAACTCATATTTTTCAGAGGGGTAGGTATACTGCCAACCAGAGAAAGTCTGAAAAAACTGGAGATTCATCATGATTTATCTATACACAATCCATAATCAATCCTTGTCTCAATGTGCTTCCTCCATGGCCTCTAGGTCATTATCAAGCTCCCCGCGGACAAGTTCGACGAGCCTGGAATGCCCAGCTGGAAAGTGGAAAATCACGGACGGGTGTACGGTGTACACCGTCAGAACCTTTATTTTAGTTGGGGAAAATGAGATAAACCATGACATTTGATACCTATGGATACCTTAATATACCTTATTTTTGGGCAAACCTATAGGACCTATATGCTATCGTTACGTTATCAGATAGGAACGTTATCTGACGTGTTTTTTTGTTGCGATCGAAGATTCCAACGTTGAAAAAACATGGGTGTCACGGGTAGGATCTCACGGTGATGACCGGTAACGTACCAGGGTAACCCCCCAGAACGGGAGAACGGGAGAATCTGTTCCCATTTCCCAGGTACCCTCTGGTAATGTAACAACTATGGAAAATCACCATTTATTTAGTTCGTGAAATGTCCCATGAAAAATGGTGATTTTCCATAATGATGTTAAATTACCAGAGGGTAATTTAACCGAAAATTGGGGAACCGACTGCCCATTCAGATTGACCAAATTTGAGACCGCAGATGGACTGCTTATTTCTAGTCGAAATACCATCAGATTTTTGTTGGCGCTTCTCAATTTGGACCCCTCTCCACATGAAACTGGGTCATGGTAATAAGACTAAACCATTCAATAAACATCCCATATGCTCCATGGTGCTGGAATATTTACCAACATTTGCCCCAAAAATCACGCAGTTTTGTAGGTGTTTATATTCCAGCACCATGGAGCATCTGGGCATGCTAGCTCTGATAAACCTATATAATTTAAGTTTTCCCGTCTCCCAGGTGGCAAAGTCGAAAGTTCGATCCAGAGGCGTGTCGTTTTTTCTGCCCGCAATTTTTGTCACCCCGGTGGTTGTTATGATTTTACATTGTCAATCTTAGATGGATAGAAACTAATCCTTTAGTCTTTTGATATTAATGGGAATATCTACGTTCACCAGCAAAGAATTTGGTCCATTTTTTGCAGGGTATCTGGCAGATTGGCAATGTTTTTATATAGATTTCAACCAAAAACATGGTGGTGATGGTGAAAAAAATGAGGACGTACCAGATGTACCCGCTAGAGTATGATCGGTTTATGGTGAAACACCATTTTTTTTTTGCGAACTGGCAACTCTTCAGTGGATCTACGCTGGGTCCTGTGATTCAGGACCTGTATAAATATATACTGATGATTGGATTTTCTCTCTTTCAATATATATATATATATATACTATAATTCAGTATGTTTGATTTTTGTGCATGGAGAGAGAGAGAGAGAGGACAAAGAAAAACAAATCTTGTTGGTCGCTTCAATCATCTTTGGTCTTCCATTCCTTTGGGGGTAGCCTCTCATTTACAGTAACCGTTTGCTATGGAAGCCATGGCACATCTCAGGAGAAATTCCTGGAGTCACTGAAGGCTATCCCCGGGGTTGAGCAGGTGCGACTCTTGGCGGGAAATATCATGAATCCCAGCGTTTTTTTTGGAAAACATATGGTTATGGGTCAAAACACTGCTACTCGGATGGTACCCGGCTAGTCATAGCTTGGACTCATAGATCGGGAGATTTCCCCAGTATGGTAATGTCATAGGTTTTGACCCACTGCCATAAAAGGCCTGTGGTTTCTTCAACTACCATGCCTTAGGAAAACCCTACGAGCCTTGGGATATGCCGGTCGATGAGCCCAAGTTTCTTTTTTCATTGCCATGTTTGGCTACCAGAGGCCTGTAGTTAGTTTCTCGAAGTTGAAATCTATATATATATATATATTTATTTATTTATAATATATATATAATATAATATATAATATATATAATATATAATATATATATGTATATATATATATATGGTATGGGTATGGGTATGGGTATGGGTATGGGTATGGGCATGGGTATGGGTATGTAATGTAATGCAATGTAATGCAATGTAATGCAATGTAATGCAATGTAACGCAATGTAATGCAATGTAATGCAATGTAATGCAATGTAACGCAATGTAATGCAATGTAATGCAATGTAATGCAATGTAATGCAATGTAATGCAATGTAATGCAATGTAATGCAATGTAATGTAATGTAATCTAAGGTATGTATGTATGTAATATATATATATATACATACATATTTAATCATACATACATACATATACATATATATATATAGAGAGAGAGAGAGAGATCCTGGTTTTGGATAGATCACCAAGCCCCCAAGATGTTTAATTTCGAGGTTTTTTCCTCGAGTACATGTCAGGTGGAAACGCAGACCTACACGCTTGAGACGGTGAATCTCTTTGCGACCTGGACTTGACTGGAGGGTTGGGAGGTCAAAAATGGGGACAGAACTTGTGGAAGCCTGAGGCATACATATATATATATATTATATCTATATATGTATTATATATATATGTATATATATATATATTTAATACATATATATATATATAAATATATATATATATATTATACACATATGTATATATATATATATTATATTATATATATTATATATATAATACATTTATAGATATAATATATTTTTATATTTAATAAACAAATATATATATATATGTAGAATTAATACATATAATACTATATATATATTATTACATACATATTTATATATATAATTATGTATATATATATATAGAAGCATATAGTCAGATAGTTTATTTGGGATACAACTGATACTAGGTAAACATAGGTAAACCCAATGCCAGAAAGCTGGGAAATCCATGATTTGGCGAATGTTTTTCAGCAAATCTCGTCACATGGCGTGCTAATGCCACCATTTAGATTCAATGGTTTGGTTTAGTTGGGAAATGTTTAACCGGAAACCCATGGGTTTTTACCATTAAAAAAGCGGTTTTTCCTGTAAAATAATCCCCTAAACCAATCCTAAACCTCCATTTTTCTTTGGGATTTCCCCGCAATCGCCATCTGGTAATCACCCAGATGGTAGCTGCTGACCAACATCCGGCTGATGATGTTCCCAAAAGCCCTGTCAGTTGATGATGATCCTCTGGTAAACATACAAAAAGCTATTGAAAATGGCCCAGTCGAAATAGTGGATTTACCATGATTTACCCAGCTAGAAAATGGTGGATCTTTCCAGTTCGTTATGTAAACGTTTACCAGGCCGGGTAGTTCGGGAATTCTATTGCTGCAACCAATATCTTGATGAACAAATCACAATCCATGAACAGGGATTACAGGCATTTGAATACTGCTCATGTTGTACTTAATGGGCTTTATTAGTGATGAGTGGGAATTTAATGAACCAATAATAGTTTGTCAATGAAGATTACCCTTTGGTAATAATACAACTTTGCTATGGAACAATCGCCATGTTTACCAGGTATTGTTTGAGAATATTATTCCAGCAATATTGTATTACTATTGGGAATGTGAGTATTGGAATTGGAAAATGTGTATTTGGATGTATTGGGACTGTTACTTGCGTACCAATTATCTCCAGTATTGAAATATCATTGGGGATATTCCACAAAGCAAATACCGATATTAGTGGGTCTACATCGCCACTCCAGAACCGCAGCAATACTTCTGGCAATTTAACCTGCTCAAAAAAAACCATCTGCATATGGGCCACTTTCCAGTTCGCAAACTGTTGAATTGCCAGAGGATATATTCCCATAATGTTAATGACTATGATATATGTATAATATTATTATTACTACTTTTATGGTTATTACTATTACTATGATTACGTTTATTATTTTTATTTTGTTTATGTAGCATTAAATTTCATCATAACCCAAAAAAGGTGTGTGTATATATATATATATTTATAGACACATCTATGAATATTAACCATTTTTACTTTCCATATCCAAAAAAAACATCATTTCTTGACCCGTTAAATACCACCCTTCGCGATCGCAAAAGCCGAGGCCCGGGCTGTGCCGAAAGCTTCAAAAGGATGCATGGCGTAGGCGAGTCGCTTGCAACTGGTTAGATAACTTTTGTAAACTTAATCTTTTGCTATGAATGGTACAAGTTAGACTGAAAATGATGTTCTTTGCCAGGTATATCCACGATTCACCATGTTAACTGTTGTAACTGGCTCGAAAAGCCTCATTTAAGTGGTATACGTACATAAATTATCATATATTTATAACCTTAGTTGCATGAGTGATAATCCCATGGCCACTTCACTGTTAAGGGCGCTGTGGTTGGGGTGTGTGTGTGTGTGTGGGATGTTCAAAGGTGACTGTCCAAAAACATCAAGAAAGCGACCAAAGAATCAAAGAATCGAACATCCCCAGATATATAGTGGAACACCCATGAACACCCAAACGTTATGATTTAATTTATAACCCCATCCAACTAGTTCGATATATCTCCCTAATCAACCCTAGTTACTGTATTAGTCATAAACCAACTTAGCTATCTTGGGCGCCCCACTATGATCCTCATCAACCCAATGCTTATTGTAGTCAGATCGTTGCAAATGGCATCCCCAAAGCGAATGACATGAACATGATGATAGCTGCGAAGCATCGCATTGTATGTCGAAAGTTCAAGAACAAGGCAAGAGAACAAGCCAGCAACAACCCAATGGAGAGGCTTGGCGGCACTTCTTGTTCAAGCCTCGTAACGATTCAGAATTTGGTAAACACGAGACAATTCATGCAAGTTTGACACCAGGTACTGAGCTCACCATCAATTTTCAAAGCCTCAAAATTAGCAGTTCCATGCAACTTCACATCGCGGAAGTCCATCCAATAACGAAATCCAGAATATCCAAAGATCCCAAAGATCTCTGGAAAATTCTCTGGAGATGTTGGACGCAACGTGCCCTTGGATCCCACAATGGGATCTTTGGATATCCCAAGTCCAAACATCCTAAAAAGAAACTGTGAATTCTCTGCCACATCGTACAAGGTGGTGATTTCAAATCCTCGTCTGCGAAATGTTTCGAGGTTCTTCACATCCAAAAATTTTCACAGACGGCACAGGTTCCTCCGCAGAGTGTCCAACTTTCCAAAATGGATATAAATCTGATTATATCTGCACATAAAACTGTACATATCAAGTTATTTCCAACTGGATATCTATTTTTCGTAATCAAGTCTAACTGTACATATTTGTACATAAACGTTACCAAGTCCTCACAGAAAAAATGATATCCACCATCATGCACGATTAAAGACCATCAGTGATCCTTCATGTCATGACCCTTCACGTCAGAAATCATTCTGAGCACCGTTGGTACTGGACTGAGCAAGCAAAGCAGCCGACCACGAGGAGGTGGTGCCCACTCTCATGGGACTTATTGTAGTGAACTAAACCAACTTAGCTATAAAAACAGGGGCCCCACATTGTAAGATTTTGACGTTTAATAGATATGGTCACAGGGTTAATATGAATAGATATATATATATACCTGGTTGGTGGTTTGGAACATGTTTTTTCTCCCATATCTTGTTAATTTCATAATCCCAACTGACTTTCATATTGTTCAGAGGGGTAGGTATACCACCAAGCAGATACCTATATATGCACCTATCTAACCATTGTTACAATGTGAGGCCCCCAAGATAGCTAAGTTGGTGAACATAACTCCAATAACTATATGGTACGCAAATAACTATAGTTACTGGGGCTTTTGTTAACCAACTAACATCACTGGGGGGCCTCACATTGTAGCTATGAAATCACATATATCTTCGATCCTGGACGAGGATTCCGAGCTGATATTTTCATGCATCCGCATCAACTCGGCGGAAGACCTCGTGAGCTTCCTACTTTTTGTGGGGCCCCCTTACTGGATAGCTAAGTTGGTGAACATAACTCCAATATTGCTATGATATGCTATGATATATGATCATGTGTATATATATATATATATATATACATACATATATACATATACATATATATATGGGTAAATTATAACGACCTCACTGCGACCTCACTGGAATCATAGTTAATAAGGGAAATCATCCCAACATGGCCTTAATTCAGGTTAGTGAACTATTGTAATTTACCCAGATATATATATATATATATATACAACTATAGTTGATGTATAGTGGTATATAGCCCAACTTATATCGTTTGGGGGCCCCACATTGTATTTTGTTGGTTGATTTCAACCCCCCAATTTATCACCATAAAGCCGTCCCAGACCCTATGTTTATCTATGTTCTGTATTATTCATATTACCCTCTGGCTATTTAACATAGCCATGGAAAATTGCCAATTTATAGATGATTTTCCCAGCTAGAGACCTCCATTTATAAGGGATTTTCCATGGCTATGTTAAACAACCAGATGGTATATAGTTTCAGTACTGTAGACTTATTGACACACATGAAACGTGCTGTTTGTTCATTATTAAACATATGTTTAGTACTTCAAACCAATTATTTTGGGTACATGGAGGGTCTAGGTGTATATACAGAATTTATGTATATTTATATTATATATATATATACATATGTGTGTGTATATATATATATATATGTTGCCACATTTTTTTCGCAAAGTGTTATCTTTTTTTCAGCCCATCCTGTCACAGGCTGAGGCGGGATCTTCCGGAAAAGAAAAAATCGATGGGCGGTCCATTGGGGGGTGACATGTCTGCCTTCGGAATTTCAGTTGGACACCAAGCATTGGGCAATGTTGGGCCATATTCAGTTTTTTTTGGTCAAGATCTATTCAGTGGAGAGTGGAGGGAAAGATTTTTCGGGAGCTCTTAGGGATTATCTAGATGCTCTATGTGGGGGAACAATTCGGAGCTACGAATTGAGTTTTCCAACCACATGATCGAGATGCTCTTTCAAGCACCGTGTTGTGTTTTTCCCAGGATGAAATGAAAGGGTGTCGCATGATGTAGTATGGTGCAGTGGTGAAATTGAGATGCTCCCTCCATGTGGAAAAATTTGCCATACACGCAGTATATGGGCCTAGTGCGTGATGCTTATAAAACATATAAATATGAAATATATGTGATTTCACAGTTGCACATGCTGATAGTCACCTGGATATTAGAACCAGAAATGGTTTAGCTGGTGATTTGATTGGACATCAACACGACATGGTTAAGCAGCAAGGGCATCTCACTGTAGATACACCAGGTTTAGACACAGGCCAATGCTTGGCACGAAAAGATCCTGCCCTGCCAGCCCTTGGGTCAACTTGGAAGACGATGAAGCTAATGGTGATTCATGCTGATTAATGGTGATTAATGATAATAATGAATGCTACCATCTGGTTATGACTGAAGCATGACTTTCCATTGGGTCCCAAAATCCATGGATTTGATGCCCTTTGTGACACAATTAGGACTAGTCAATTCCGAATGCGAATGCGGCAAGAGGGTTCCTTATCCCCGACAACTTTTCTTTAGAAGTCTTGCTTCCATTGCTGCAGGTTTCCAGGCCGCAAGAACGCAGCCGTGCTTGCTTGGTGTATTTTGGCCCAAGAAATTTAGATACATCAGTGCAGAGAAGAACGCATGTTGGACATGTGCAGATCCCCCAAAAATCGGTGGCAGACTTGATGAACAGGTCAACTTCCCAACATTTTGCTGAGGTCAGTTGTGGCCCAAAAAAAACAGTGAACTGGCCATGGGATATACCATCTGGTTATTTAACATAGCCATGGAAAATCACCATTTTTATAAGGTAAACCATCTATAAATAGGCCATTTTCCATGGCTATGTTAGTCATAACCAGAGGGTAATTCCTGCAACTGGTGAAACATATCAGCAACAATTACTGCAACTGGTGGCTTGGAACCATGGAATTTTTATGACTTTCCATATCTTGGCAATTTCATCATCCCAACTGACTGACTCCATCATTTTTTCAGAGGGGTAGGGTTCAAAACCACCAACCAGAGTATCCGAGTATCCCATATAAATCACCATTAAATCATATTAAATCCCATTAAACCCCATTAAATCACCACTAAATCACAATTTTTTAAATAAGTGGCTGGGCTAGACCTGTGTGATTTCATGGCTCTAACACCTACACGGTGCCAGCTGGAGCCTGCGGTGTTGCCATAACTGCAGATCTCAGATTTCTGGTCCAATGGGAGAGTTGAACACAACAACCCTTTCATCATACCTATATAATATATATATATATATGTATATACATACATATATTTGACTATGATCATGTATGTCTGTATATATATATATATATGTATATATATTATATATATATTATATATATATAATCTTACCGGCGCTGCAGAATGACAGCTGCTCTGTGTGGCGGTGAAAACACTGCCCTGTAGGGCCCGATTTCGGCTAGACAGGTGGGACTGATTTCGGCCACAGATGGGACATATGGGAGAGCTACAATGTGGGGCCATGGATAGGGATTAACCCATCCAACAAATAGGGAAAATGGAGGTTTAACTCTAAACAAATATAGATTTATAGCTGACTTATGGTTACTTAAGTTGATTTAGTTCGCCCCAACTGTCGGGTGAATGAGAGACAGATATTTCTATCATTCGATGGGGTTCAGGTCTGGGGGCCCAACTATGTACAAAGCAAGGGTTGGATGCTTCAGATGGTCGAATTCTCGAAGTTATGTCGCACAGCATCAACATATTCTGCGATAAAGAAAATGCTAGCTTGCATCTATGGCACTTTATGTTGCGAGTGTAGGTCAATATGAGTTTATATATATATATATATGTATATTATGATTTTATTTTATATATATACATATAATTATTATATTATATACATAATGATTATATTATATATGGAAGAACTAAAATATTGGACAATAGATAGTAAGGTATGTTTGGCCAATCTTTGTTAACCATCGGATTCAACAAAATGGGACAGTCCCAGGATGTTTTATCATTTTTCGTTCCGACAGGCCGCGCAGAGCTGACCATGGGCAAGTTTCGCTGGCACGTTTTGATGCCGGAGGGCAGACGTTGACGTCTTGGTATGATTCGGTGCTTGGTGCAGTTCAGATTACTTTTGTTCAATGGGACATCTCCAGGATCCTAAAATGGAGGTACGTTAGTACCATGTAAGGCTATATGTTGTGAGGATATTCCCTGAAATTTAGGCCTTATATATGGTAGGTACCTCCAATTTAGGTTCCTGAAATGGCCGTTAAATTGTGGGTATAAACATGGGAATTATACCCTCATGTTTGTCGGGATACCAGCCTTGCAACCATGGTTATATATGCACTTATAACTGGAACTGCATTTTTAAAGTAACATTCAAAATTTATCCGCTATGCTAGGAAATACAAAAAAGATTGGTCATTTGTGTGTGTATTGGATGTGTCACCCATGTACTCGTTTATTACCATATAATTATTGCCCATACACAGTTATGTTTTACCCATGTATTGGATGTATATCTGTGTATCACCATGTAAAATGTGGTCCGATGTTATTCATCCAATTTTTACTCCATTTCGACCCATAGCCAGTGGCCACACACCCTTCAGCTCATGTGGGGTGGACACCGGTGAAGTTGTGAAGGCTTTCTCCTACAGCTTCCCAGTCTTGACGTGTGGTTTCTTCCATGTTTGGATGCTCCTTTTCTCTTACAAATAGCATGATGACCTATTGATACTAGCTATACATATATATATGTATATGTATCAATATATATATATATACATAGAGATGCATATATCAATGATTCCCTGTGGGATGCAGAAGCACCAAGCGGCTCAGGAAGTGGGTGCAGATAGTCGGACATGCGAGCAATAGTACATGGCCGTAGGATGAACTGGTGCCATATTTGCAGACGAAGCCAAGTGACCCTCTGGTAAACTAACAGTTTGCGAACTTGAAAATGGCCATAGAAATAGTTGATTTTCCCATTGAACATGGTGGTTTTATGGTGGCTAAATGGGATTTAATGGGATTTACCCTCTGGTAAACATACAGAAAACTATGGACAATCACAATTTTTAATGGGTAAATCCACTATTTCTATGGCTATGTTCAATCGCTTTTTGTATGTTTACCAGGCCGGGTACTATCCTGAAACCATGTGGACGTCCCTCTGAAATGTCATGGGGGTTCCGGGTTTCTTTTTCGTACCAATCCGTTGAATCTGGGATTTTTTGGTGTCCAGCCAGGCAGAAGAAAGCTACTTTGCACGATGCCAGTGAAAAGCTGAGGATAGTCAGGATAGATGTGGGATGATGAGATGCGAGTCCAATACCATCCGGTAAACTAACATTAATATAGCTATTAGTAATGGTTGATAAATCTTGAAAATACCATCTTAGTATATAATGGGTTATAAAGTTATAAATGGTTATAACACTTATAATAGTGGGTGAAAAACAAACACTTACCCTTTAGGGTAAACTAACAGTTTGCTATTGAACATGACCCATTTCGTTCGTTGATCTACCTATTAAAATGGTGATGTTCCAGTTCGCAAACTGTTAGTTAACCGGAGGGTACACGTATTTTACTGGGATTTGACCTAGCAAGAATTGACGATTACAGCATTTCTTCGATCTTGATTCAGGTGATTATGAAGTTGAAGCCAGATATATTATAATGCCAACACCGGATTAATAACCCCCCCCCCAGAAGGTAGGGGGGTACCTTCTGGCTAGTTTTCTTGACGACCCCTTAATAACAAGCAACTCTGAACCATAAAACTTTGGATATGGCTTAGGTCAATTAGATCTTAATTGAATTCCATTGGATTTGTTAAAATTTCATGGATCAGAAAGGTGGCTGATGAATTTAATCAGGGGCAAACCCTGGTTATTATTAATGGGGTACATGGGCTCATGGGGGGTACCCTTTGGGAGCTATCCAAACTGATGATTTTTATAAAGATTTTAATTAGAAATCGATCATTTGGGGAATAGTTATTTTTTGAAAATTTCAATGATCAACTTAAACCTGAAGTATAACAATGATGATTAAAAAAAATGTAAAAAACAATTGGAAATAAATAGAATTGGAAATAAAAAATGTTGGATAAAAAATGGACTTCAGAATTGGTGGTTGATTAATCGGGGGTAGACCAAAAAAAATATTAATCTGGGGGGACCACCTGTTTTTAAATTACAAAAAAAAATTGGGCAGTTGGCGTTGATTAATCGGGGTGGTATTATTAATCCTCACTTGACATTATTTGTTTCTTGTCAAAAGTCGCAAAAAAAAAGATCATCGTGTGTAGATGATTTACACTGGTAAATGAAGTGACATGGACTGAAAATCACCCATTTTTCGTGGTTTCACGATGTTTCACATCCTTTTTTTGCCGTCTTTTCGTGGTGTCAATTGGACGGGTATCCCCCAGAGATGGTCTGACCTCAGGTGGAAAGAAGATCTTACATCCAGCCGAGGCGGAGAGGAAGAAGGCGGGCTGCCGGGACTTCCGGGATCACGGTAGGAGGTACAAGGTGGTGCCCCCCCCAGTGATGTGAAAGTTTTTTTTTTTTTAATAATCCCCATTAACTATAGATAAAACCCCCTAATCAACCCTAGTTATTGGACTTATAAACCAACTTAGCTAACTATGGGGCACCACCTTGTATGGGGGTCGTTTGTTACTGATATTTTTCTATATGACTGGAGGAATAATGACCCATAGCTGGTTGGTGGATTGGAACATGAGTTTTACGACTTTCCATATATTGGGAATTTTATCATCCCAACTGACGAACTCATATTTTTGAGAGGGGTTGAAACCACCATCCAGATAAATTATAAATCCCATCTATGAAAAGGATATCATCTGGGTGCCATGACAGCATCTTATAGCCATATCCAAGCAAGGTGTATAAAAGTATGGTCTATGATGGTATATGCTATATATAAATGTATATAACTGTAGTAATCATGGGGTTTATAAACCAACTTATCTATAAGTGGGTTGCACCATACTGTAGTGTTTATGGG